GATATATATGTAAATGCATCAACAAAACATACAAATATTTAGAATATATTATGTATAGATGTCAATTTGAGCCATTTACATACATGAATATGCATGAAATTGCCTATGTATAACTAAGAGTTAAATGTCTTCATCTTTAAATCTATATGTAGGCCACTGATGAATATTCAAGGTTTAAGATCATAGATGTACAATAGTTTGTATCAAGGTAGAAAAGGACTCATTAATGAGTTCTTGAATGGTGAAGGAATTTGAGCAAGTGGCATCACAACATTTCATTTAATTTTTAGAAGATAAGTTTCAATGCTCATTGGTGAAGCACAAAAATCAAGCATACTTAACAACAAATGAAGTCAAGTTGGATTTATGCAACATGTGCTTTCAACCTAAGTATTTATACTATACTGCACATGAAGAGTATGAATCAGATGTTTATTATGATCACATCATTGCTTCTTCAAGTTCCCCCCCTCAAACTGAATATGATCCTACCATATATAAGGAAATAATTTTTGATTCAAACATAGCTCATTTTGTTAAAAGTGTTCCTGAGGGTGATCTTCCACCATCCACCAAACAATGAAGAATAAAGATTATATGATTTATTGAATGTTGCACCACAACTTCTATGAAAAGATTGCACAATGCATTCAGAGTTATCAATAGTGTTCAGAATGTTGAGCATTAGTTTTTATTATAAAATATCCTAGAAAGTATTTTAACCTAGTTATAGTGTTACTAAATGAGACAAATCTTAAGAAAATTCTAGTTTCTGAGGTCCTTTACAAAACAAATAAATTGGTGTGAAAGTTAGGGTTAATATCCGAGAAGATAAATTGATGTGTTAATGGATGCATATTGTTTTATAAGGTAGTTGCAATGTAGATTTTGAGATGCTAAGAGACTCAAATCAAAGAGTAAAAGAAGTAAGAAATTAAAAAAAAAATCATATAAACATAATTTTTACTTGCCGCTCATTTCCCATCTTCAAAGACTCTTTGCCTCTATGCATGTAATTCCTCATATTACATGTCACAAGAATAGATGTGGTGATACTAATTCCTTCACTCGTCTATTAGATAAAGAAACCTAAACTTTTTTTGTCATAGTTATCGTAAGTAGTTTGTTGACAAAACTTGCAACATTAGGTTTGACTTATGTGCAAATGGTTTACACTGCATAGTCAGACTGTAATGCCCTACTTATGTTGACTAGTGATTGATATGTTATATAACTTACCATCTGATATGTGCATGACTACACCATTCTTATTTTTTATGTTAATTATATTGAGTTTATATAACCCAAAGAGGAAAATTAATGTGCACTTATAACCCTTAATAGATGAGCTTCAAACGTTATGAGATATTGATGTGCTGACTTATGATATTGTTATGAAATAAAATTTTTTGTTGAAATTCACTGTGATGTGGATAATAAGTAATTTTTTGGCATACAAGATGCTATCAGGTTATAGCATTGCAAACAAATTATCTTGCCCTTACTATATATATCTGTCAAAGGCATTTACCTTAAAACATAGAAGAAAAAATTCCTAGTTTGACAATCATCAAACATTTTCACCTTAAAATTAATGTACAACTCTCATCCATGGTGCCTTGATAAAAGAACTATTATGCGGATGTCAGAAAACACTTTTAAAGATGGATGGAGCTATGTCATTGCTGGTAATGATGACCATCTCCAATAGTTCTTTCTCAATAGGCAGGCTAGGTTGCCTCCCATGGGTGAAAGAAACGAGTTCAACCATTTTTGCATATTAGCTCGGTTCAACCGCTTCAGCATGTAGGCTCGGTTCAACTTCGATAGGAAGGCTCTGCTCAAAAAATTAAGCTTGTAGACTCCAAAATAAGCATAAAATATGCTATACAGTCATATTTGTGTATACATTTAATGTTATACCATTGGAGTATCCAACTTTTACTCATTTCTTATTAGAAGCCCTCACAGTAATAGCAATAAAAAAAGTTTCTTTGAAATAATCTTGATATATTATGTGTTATTTCAAATCTCTAATGTTAAACAGATTATCTAAATGAGAAACAAAGAATTGTTTGATTTTTTCCTTGCATGTTCTTTCGCCATGTCTTAGCTTGCTAGCCTTCCCCGGCTTTATTTTAATAGTTGTCATTTTAGTTATCCATATTTACTATTTTCAAAAGCATAGAGACTACCATCAACAAAACTTGTATTTAATCTCAAACATTTAAGAGATTATAACACAAGAGCTCAAAATCATCTACTAATGCGTTTGGATCCTCATAATATTCAAAAAGATATTTTTGATATATCCTCTTAATGATCAAATAACTATAAACACTAAAATGAAATCATGTATGCCACTAATTTATTGATGTCAAGGGAAATTAATTAATAATTTGGATCTTACATACCAACACATGAGCAGATAAACCAATGATTTTTTTCAAGTACGTACTCTTGTTAAACTAAATTTTAAAATAATACAATAATTTCGTTTCTTAATACTAAAATTGTTTCCATCCCTTGTTATTATAGATCCGTATTAGATTTCATATTGCATTAGAATTTCAATCTTTTCCTTATAATATTAAAATGGAAGATTTACATTCATACCACTCAATTCCTATGAATTTAGATATCTAACCCCTAAATTTCAATTTCTTACAAAGGCATCAGCTTATCTATGCATGAAAAGTCACTTTCTTAAAAGTTTAAACGATGAAGTTTTTTTATGTGATGGGAAAGATTTGGGTGGTATAAATATAAAGAAAAACAAAATAAAGGTGCTAAATATGTAAATACATATGAATTGGGTAGTACGCAACTAAATGCCACCTAAAATAATATATATTATTTATGATTTACAAGAAGTGGCCACTCTCTGGTAAGACTAATTAACTAGAAACAACAACCACTTATGTACATATTGTACATGGCTCATTTGACAACCAGGTTTTAGTGTTATAAACGGACAAAAATACAAAATTCTAAGCCAATATTTTTGAAAGTGACTAATTTTCCCCTCCATAATTGAAGCTTTCCATATACTACAATGAATCCTATTCGAAATGACAGCTACCTTCCCAGAGAAGAGGAAAGTCTATATATATATATATATATATATATATATAATGATTTCAACTGAACATTTTTAGAATAATATCTTGAATAAAAAAATAAGAGAATTCAATATAGACAAATTAAATTTAGTTATGACCAATATATTATGGTGTGATGATTCTTTTGTTCAATAAAAATTCAAATATAAATCTTATCATTAATGCATTCCAATCAACATTACAATTCATATCATATCATTTAATGAATCATATCCGCATGCAAAAACTACAACCTTGAATCTTATTAAGCTGTCACACAAATAATTATTAGTTCCTTTTTTCTATCATATGCATGCATTACTACAGATATGATAATTATTTATAAAGAGATGGGGAGGAAAAATAGATCTCTCCGCATTTATTGCATGCATTGGTAACATGGGCTGTTTGTGGTGTTTGCTGTATTTGTAGAGAGAGATAGTGGAAGAGAGAGAGAGAGAGAGATATGGGTCTCAAGTAAAATAAGAACCTTAGGGCATGTGAGTGTGTTAAGTGGACGTGATGAATTTGAAGTGGATGAGAGGAGTTGGGTTTGTTTATTGGTTTAAAGTCAGATATGTGTTGGTCTGCTGGCTTTTGGTGGAAAGTGATGGATCTAGCTTTTAATGGATACCATCATTCTGCCCGCTAAATTCTCTTATTTCTATTGATATATATAAAGATATTTGAAATATGACCGTTTCTAAGTCAGAATTCAAAAATAATTCAAATAAATTAATCATAGATATGTTTTGGTAGACAAGGAGATTAAGACAATTAATGTTTGGGGATGAAAGTTCTGTTTTTTACTTTAGAAGCATGCACAATCAGCGTGCATTTCAGAGGACTCTTTCAAAGAAGGCAAGTCACACACGCAAACCCTAAATAATATTATAAAATTAAAAAAAAATAAAAGAAAAATAATCAATAATTGGTGCTGCATTATGTGGTACATTTGGCATTCCATAGGTTGAAGAACCTAAGAAGCTTATCTCATTCCCCCCATAAATTCTTATCATCTTGAGGTTGGAATTATAATTATGGAATTAAAAGAAAATGCAAAAATTAAAAATCATATATTTTATGTATTAAATTTAGATAAAAAATGGCAGCTTCCCACTTGGGATTGCAGAAAAACATTACAGTAATGGCTTATTTGGTTGATGGTGGAAAAATAATATATTAAATAAATAAATAAATAAATAAACTATAAAGTTTGCTAGATTCGATTGTTGGTTTGGGTGTGATTAGCTACAAATCAACAAACGTTTAAAATTCCAAAAACCCCATAAATGCATTGATTCCTGTTCCAAATACAAGACAAAATCAGCGGAAAAAACTATTCTTTAAAATAACTTTATTTCTTAAGAGATTGTTTGATTCAATGAACATGTAATATGTGATGATATATTATATTATTTAAAAGAGAAATTTACATCAATACCACACAATTCATGGGTATTTGCTCATCTAACATCAAAAGCTTGATGTTTTATATTTATAACACTTTGATACGATAAACATAAACATGCATAAAAAATATTTTATTTTTTTATTTTTTTGCAGTATTAGTAAGAGTGGCATTCTTTACCCGATGTTAATGTTATGTAAATAAAAAAAAATTGAAATGTTAAATATATAAATATAAAAGACATGTTTGATGTTTATGTAAATGCCTCTAAAAATATCAAAGACATTTTCAAAAGAAAAAAACTTTTCGAAAAATGACTACCATTTTATATTTTTACTAGAAGTACATGTCAACCAAGGATATCATACCACTAAAAAATCATATAACATTGAATAAAATTGTATTTAATATATGATAAATAACATTAATATTAACATATTGATAATACTAATGTCTCAAATACCAATCAGCCTAATCTACTAACAATCAAAAGAGCAGAAAGAGCCGTCTTCTTTCACAAGATAAAAGGTTGCTTGACTTGGTTCCTCACTGGAGACAGTTCGGATAATGTTGTCATCTGCAGTATCTATAGATTTAAGAGAAGACAGAAGGGGAGGGTTCAAAAAGATTTGATTTTGTTTAGGTGGGGAAGGAGAGAGAAGGACGGGAGACATAAGCCCACCATGGCAGCTTAATATCTTCATGTTCTAGCAAAGCAGCTGTCTTGGAATATTATGATCTTGTCTATATCCCCTTCTTAAGCTTATATAGATTTCTGATATTAATTTGTCCATATCTACCTTACTTCTTCCTCTTTGAAAGAAAGCTATTCATATCTGAAACTTATTTTGCTTTTTCTCCTCCTACCTTACTTACTTCCTCTTTTATAGAGGCTATTGCTATTGAAAGGTTAAACCTTTGAGCTGCTTTTCCATCTTTTCTGAATTTGTTTCTCCTTAACATACTGTCAAGCTTGCATTTTTATTTTTTTTATTGTTTCTCTCTTGTGTATTTTGGGTGCCCCCTTGGTTTCTGTCTTTCTAAGCAAGAGAAGAAGGAAACTGTGATCATTCTTGCTTTGGTTTCTGTCGTTTGGATTTATAAGAATGGAAGATTGATGAGGGGAGGGTGAGGAGAGAAGAAAATGGTTGTTGAGCAGCAGAAACGAAGTTCACAGGTGAGTGAAAAACATCTTTTTTTTTTCTCCTTTGGAGTTTTAGTTTATAATATGCTATTAATTCATTTTTCTGGGCTGATTTGGGTGTTTGATCAAGTTTATGAAGATACAACTTTAATTTCAAATTGTGGGAGTTTTTGATTTTTCTGTCTTAGTTCTGTCTGAAAAAATGAAAATTCATTAATACTGCAGATTGGTCTTCTGGAATCCACTGTTCTTCCTTTGTTGTTTCCCTTATCCTATGATTGGAGATGATTATGTTTTCAGTTTAAATTAATTTTTTTGGAGGTTAGAGGAAGAGTTTTATATTTGAACGGGGAATCTTCACTGCATGTTTTAGATATGTACATCTCAGTTTACTGCTAAAATTGCTATTAATTAAAAATAATTATTAATTATCTTCTTTCAATGCCTAGCATAATGTCTCTTTAACAGTTTTTGGTGCTGATTAGCTGATTAAAGCAAAGCTTTTCATTTTCAGTTCTACTCATCGCTGAAGTTCTGATCTTGAGTCTTCGATTTTATCAAAAATTTAATTGCGTTTTTCAAATTTATTTTTTTCCATTAATTTTTGAATGATAAACAGTGTTCTCCATTGATTTTCATTCTAGCTTTGCCATTTTGGTTAGCTTGGTTAATTTATTCGCATTAGATTAATTAGATGGAGTCCTGATTGCTTCAATCTAGTTTCAGCAATTTTGGCAAAACAAGCGAATTATGGTTGGATTTAAGCTAAAAATAATGAAATTAAAAATAAATTAAAAATAAGGAAAAAAAAAACTGTTAGATAGTATTGGAATTCCCCAGCAGAAGTTGATCCAAAACCTCAGAAACAGGTCGATTTCAGCAAAGGGCCCATTTGCTTGACTTAAAGTTAGACATTATGTTTAAAAAATAACAATCATTTGATTTGATGTACTTAAATATTTAATTTTGTTTTACTTTCTCCTTCAAAATCCCTTGAAAAATAAAGATTTTGATTTCATAAACAAAATAAATGAAAATTAAATCATCTCTTTCAAACAAAGAATATAATGCTAAATAAGTTTACTGTTAAAGCTATGTTTGGATTCATTTTTTTATTATTTTTCTGGCAAATAAAACAGCCAAAAAAAATCAATATGTTTGGATGAAAATTCTTTTTTTTTTTTTTTTGAATAATTTCTTTACAAATTTTTTACATAAAAAAATCAAAAAAAATTAAAAAAGCTCCCAAAAGGATGCTAACAAGTAAAGCTGCCCACCTGAAGAAAATCTAAGCGGTTCATTTCCAACAAACAAGTTGCTGATACATTCTAGTAGAGTCATTTTCATCTCAGACCCCACTGCTTACATTTTTTAAATGCATAGTCGGTGTGGGACTGCCATATGACTTCATGACTTCATCAAATTGGCAATAAATTTCCTTTTTTCTTTCTCAAAACATTTTTTTTCCATTATAAATACTACTGTCCTATCCTCCTGTTTTGATGCTGGGCTAATATGCCACCCTGTGGTCTTTAAGTGGGACAGCAAAAATAGCACGGTTTATGATTACTCTTCACTTTTTTTTTTTTTCACTCATATGTTATATGCTTTTATTTCATTTCTGGTATGTGCTTGCACCTGCATGCTCGCGCGCACGCACATGCACTTTCGAGATTGTGCAGAAAGGGTTTATACCACAAGGGATGCAACCTCTGCAGCCTACTGAAATCAGTGATGGGCTCAAGGATTGGAGAAAATATTACATCAGGACTTCTGACGTAATTTGAGTCTGGAGTCTAATAGTAGGGTACCATGTGTTAAGTGAGTCCACTGTAATATATTGAGATTGGTCAGTGTTAAAATTTATAAGGCCCACTTGACACGTGGCGCTTCATCATTGGACTTCGGTTGCATCCGGAGTCCTGATGTAGAATATTTTTTCCAAGGATTGAGCCTATGATCATAGATCTTCAAAATAAATTTCTTATTAATTTGATTCCACATATATTGTTCACTTGCATAACAAAATTTGAGCATCCACAATATTGTTTTCCCACTACTTTCATCATTTGCTTTGCAAGGTTAATATGGAATTTTCTTTTTGCTTTTTCTTATAGGCATGGGTTTAAAATTGAAGAACACTAGCAATCACCTCAATAAACTGCTGAAGCATAATAACTATGCTCTGATTTCAATAAAATTTACAAATCGATGGATAAATTTTCGGAAAGATGCAGCAGCAGAGAATCCATTAAGAACATAATGCTGAAGCAAGAAGAGATCTTTAAACAGCAGGTGCTGCTATCTTCACCCCATTTATTTCCAAATAGAATTTTCTTGTAGAACTTGAAGAAAGCATGGCTAGAGAGTCAATAAAGGGCTATATGGTTCAATTTTTTTCTAAATAGTAGTGATATTTGGATAGCAATGTTGATTGTTGATGTTAGGATGCATAGGCAACAACAAGAATGATATTTTTGTCTCAAATTTTTTGTTGTTAAATAGCCTGTAATTTAGATATCGCATTATCTGAGCAAACAAACATCCAAGTGTGACCATATAAAAGAAAACTTTACATACATACTACTTAATTCCTATGTACTTTCATATCTAACATGAAAATTTCAATTTTTACATTACCCATGCATGTAAAGGTATATTCCACTTTTAAAAGTTAAATGGTTGTATTTTTTATTGGTTATGAAAATATTGGGTGATATAAATGTAGAAAACAAAGTTTGTGTTAGATGCCAGTAAATCATCTCATGATAACTTCCCTGAATTTCTTTTAATGATTTATGTTGGAAATGGCAGGTCCACGAACTCCATCGATTGTATCAGGTCCAAAAACTACTCATGGCTGAGCAGAGATGTAAAAAGGTGAAGGGGAACTCATCTGTGGCCACTTCCAACCACCAAATTGTAACAGATAACATTAACAAACTCCTGAGCAGAACTTCCTCAGAAACCACCCATTCTTCTCATGGCAGTGTCAGAAATAACACTAACGTTCTGTTGAATTATGAACACGCTTCAGTACATCAATCTGTTGCAATGGCAGCCAACAATGCCTCCCGGGGGCAAGTCAATAGCTCAAAACCTTCAAGAACATCAATGAAGTACATTCATCAAAATTCGGTCGAAGGAGAAAGCCCAGAGTCATGTTCTAATGAAGAAAGCAATCTTGATCTAACATTGAGAATTAATTGTGGATGTGATCAGATTAAAAGCACAGATTGGAAGGAGATGACAGAGAGATCAAAACAGTTGCTCTCTACTGATTTGAATATAGAAGAGAGTGGACAGGAATGCATTAATTCTTCAAGTGGATTTGGTGCACAGAGCTTGAAGAGGCCTCATTGGCTCTTCCAAGCATTGAGTTTGAACAGAACATGAGTTTTGTTTAAACAATTTCACAACACTTATTAGCCATTATTGTGCCATGAAGTATACACAGGTTGAAACGACATACAACCTGTATATCAGTAGCCAAATATCAGTGTAAAACTTTTCTGAAAGAGGCTCTTCATTCATTCAGTGAGAGATTGGATTTTGTTAATGAGAATCATTATTAATAAAGAAGGGTTTAACTCGATTTTCTAACTGTAGAGTTGTGGAAAATTTAACAATGGATCTTTCTTTTACTTTTACTTTTAGTACTTCAAATTTTAACTGTAAGGTGGGGTTCCCAGGAAATAGCAAACCACGGGATTCATCCAGATGGATACTGTCTGGATTTTTGTAGACTCAACTTCAAAGACACTCAAAACAACTCAGCTTGCTTAGCATGCTGTTATTTCGTATAGCACACTGGGAAAGCAGACCTGTCGGCTTATACTCCATATTCATCATTGATCTAATTTACCATTAATTAGATGTTACAGATAACAAGAATCGATCTTAACAAGTTATAATTTGTACTTAGGCTGGTTGTTAGTCATACATAGGGACAAAGTGAGAGCTTTAAAAATTATTCTAATAGGTCTCCAAAGGACAATTCCACCCCTTCGCACTAACTTTTGGAAGTGTTGTCAGGTGTATAAACAAGAAATATTTAGATGGTTGAAAGCTTTAATGAATGTTAAGAATTATGGGCTTATGTAGAGTGGGGGCATTGGAGGCATAGGGTCCCACTAGCTCGGTCTACCCAAATAAGTAGCCTAACCAAGTGACTCTACTTGGGTCTTCACCTCATTTTACTTGATGGCTTCAAATCAATATGTTTATTAAAAAAAAGGATTAAAGAGATAAAACACAGCAAATAATTCTGTATCGAAGAGAGTAGTTGAGGCATTGCATACTCTTCTTTATTTAACCAACTAATAGCTAGCACAATCAAAAAAAAAATTAAGATGGTAAATATTAATTTTTTTTATCAACACTCAATTGTTATACCATTGAAAATTTTGAGATGAGCCTCCAAGGGAACTCAAATCCATTGGAATATTGGAGAGGAAGTTGGCTATAACCTAGGATGTGATGGAAGTCCCTGAATTAGATGATATCAAACTCACTCAACTCTAAAGCAGTTTTGAGGAATTCTCTAGCTTGATCAGCACTATTTTCAAAGGCAGGCCAATTTTAACCATGATAAGATACCTGGAGGAGTATTTAATGTCATCAAGACATATAAATTAGCAGCAACTTCAGCTTCTCCGTGGTTGATTACCATATGCTCCTTCAAAAATTTAATTAATATAATGGATAGGAAATTTTTTCCTATCCTCGATCTAAAAAAGAATAGAATCCATTGATTCCTCTTTAACTCCTAGATATAGTTTGAAGATATTCTTTGCCATGTAGTTTGTTGAAAAGAATGGGGATGGAAAGAACATGAGTTCTATGAAGCCTTTATCAAAGAATAGGGTCCTCTCAAATCATTTGTTTTCTTGTGGTGCTCGTAAGGATGTTGTGCAGCTGTCCCTAGAGAATGATTTCACTAAATTAGGCACAAATCTTTAGAGCTGTTTGGGATCATTTTTAGTTTTTAGTTTTTTACTTTTGAATACAAAAACAGGAAACAAACAAAAAACTGTGTTTACTTGCCTGCTTTTTGTTTTATTTAGGTTTCTTATTTTTTGGAGGAACACTTTTGTTTTTAAAATACTCAAAACAGAAAAAACATATTTTTTTTCTTATTTTAAAATACCGAAAACAGCGAGTCCCGCCGACGGCCGCTCGCCGGCAGTCGCCTGCCTCCACCCGCCACCCGCTGTTCGCTTGCCCACTGTCGG